TCCCCTTTTTCCTTTTTATATATAGTTGGAAGATAATTCAATACATTCCACATACCTAGATGTCTCAGGGCCCACTGGAACATTATTAATCATGTTTAGGAGTCATGTCTTATACATAACTGTGATACCCATCATGGAAATGTTGGAAACATACTCCAGAGAAGCAAGTTTAAGGGATAAGCCTCTTGAAAACGGAATCAATAAAATGAAATTGACAAGCACACATGTCCACATTTATCCTGACTTTGCTACCTGCAGGGGACTTCAGGTTTACCTTTTTCACTGATGATTTCACAGGTATGAAGCCTGATAACATCTTCACGTCAACAATGACCATGTTGGAGCTGGGCCGTTTGCCAGTGTAGCTATGAAGTCAAGGCATAAGGACAAGGCATTCGAACAAAATCGTTTGGAACTCAGTCAAGACAGAAATTGCTCCTTCTCTTTTATTTCTAGTGTTTCTTATGCCTAAACGACCATTCAGCTTCTTCTTATGCTCTATTTGCCTCTCCCATGGCTGCTTAGAAAATCCATCATTCTCTGCAGGCATGGCAAAGCCATATTCTCAGTAAGAGTGAAGACAATTTTCTTGTTAATAAATATTGCAAGTTCTCAATATCCATCATATGTGACTTTGGATAATCAGTTTCACCATGTTCTACCAAGGTCTGTAGTGATTTAGGATTTACCTAATGCTGATGTTAATCTGGAATTTCCTGTGAGCACCTGAGCCTTCACAATTCTTCGGGAGAGCATCAATCTTCAGAGCGAATGGAACTTCCTCTTCTTTCTGAGGCAGGATGTTGTATCTCAGGGATGTCTGAAACAAATGGAAAAAGTCTCTCTCTTTTACGTGATTCATACTCCCCCTTAGCACATTTTTTTTCGTTCTGTTTTAAAAATCAAGTCTAATTCTTGAGACTTTTCCTCCCCTTTGCAGCACCCCTACACCCTGGTAGTCTCACCTGGAGGTACACACATCCTGACCCTGACACTGTTGTGCTGTACTCCCCTGGAATCATCGGCAGCTGGACCTCCTGTAGCAATAGGCGATTGGCTTCATCTACTNGTAGCAATAGGCGATTGGCTTCATCTACTTGGAATATTTCAGAGAAGTTCTCTGAAGCTTTGACAGTAACTGTAGCTGCTTTCTCTCTTTTAGTGAAAGTTGCAGCTCCATATTTGGAGAGGGCTTGGAGAGCTACCACAGTATCCTGAAAAAAGATGGGTGCAGAAATCATTGGAGAGGAGGATAACAAAATCAAACTGGATGTAAACCCTATCAACACTACTCTCTCTCAGAGTTACTTAGCCATAAACACAGTTCATTAACTGAATTTCAATTCAATTCAGACCTGCTCACTAATCACAAACTATTCTAGGTATGAAATGAAAATGTCTTATTTAAGTAGTTTACAACATACGTATGGAAATAAGACTCAAATACTGCAAAAATTTATAAAATCAGGTAAAAATATTTGTAAAAATTCAGAGAAGGGAAAAGACGTTGGAGCCAGAATAGTAAGAGAAGACCATAAAGAAGGTGATAAAGAAGATTTTCTCTGAATAATGAGAAAGGTTTATATAAACAGAAGAGAGCCATCAGGGAGTACCAGCGGCAGGAAATGCTCTAAGTGAAAACACAGAAAAGGGAGCTAATCCCAGAAAAAGTGAAGGGATCAGCCTAATTAGATAGAAATATTCATGTTTACTGGGGAGAGGAAATACTTTAGGTAAAATATTAGATAATTTTAGTCTTCGGGTAGAAAAAAGATTTACTTTATCAGGGGAATAATCTTACGAGGGTCCACTGAGGAGAGAAGCTACGAGAGACTGTACGGAGAACAGAGCAATGATCCATACACAAAATCATGAGGCTGGAACCCTTCTGGTGATGGAGGAATGGAGAAGGCAGGAATTTGAAATAGTATCCAATTAATTATTCAACTCCTAGAATATAGTTGTGTCTACATATATATTAGTGTATTTATTTTTCTTCCTAGGGTCTCTCCACGGACCTGAGTGGAGGAGAAGCCCCCATTGGCGTTTTGTTGTTTGGTGATCCATTTCACAATACGTGAAGCCTTAGACAGGTCCTCCGGAGATGGGGCAGGCTGGGCAGTCGCACAGGCGAGGAGCAAGTAGGATGCCATCTCCACTTCAACAGAAGGAGCCCGGGGTTGATAATAGAGGGTCTGAACTTCTGGAACTTTCCCAGGACGTTGCCAGTGGATTGAGTCATCTTTGAAATAGAAAAAGGTGTCATCTTCAGCTTAGGGAATGGTTGCAAAATCTAACTCGTGAACGATCATTTTAATTAGCTCTCACTAAGAATTGATGTAATTGAAGAAGAAGTATTAAATAATCCCCAATTAAGCAAATTTTTGCCAAGAAAGTAAATTAAGGCTCCACCAAATCCCATTGTGTTTCCATGTTTGCTTCATAGTTGTGTGACATTAGAAGCTGGGCTGTATAGAGTCTGTAATGTGTGCACTGATAAAATGATCCATGTTACCTGGAGAACTGAGGTATTGGATCAATGATAATTGTTTTTATTCTCATTCATATAATATAAAATATAATAAAAATAATGTGAGATAAGCATGGTAAATGTGACTTCAATAGGTCCTCTCCCTTTTGACTCACTGGTGATTTTTTGGAAGTGAATTTTGCAGGAGCAGCTCTCACCTTCTTTCACCGCCTCTTTGTCTAGTGATTCAAGCAGCTCGTTGCGCTTGGCCTGGTTCCCTGCCAGGGCAAAGGCATAGGCCAGTAACGCCTTCGTGTAGACGAGACTGCTTTGGTTCTCTGAGGTGGGGGTCCAGGCTCTTTCCAGGCAGAATAGAGCATTGCGAACAACTGGGTGCTACGTGGGAGACGAAAGGAGGCAGGAAGAAGCAGAACCAAGCTGATGAACTGTCCCCAGGCTAAGCTCAGTTTAAAAACCCCAGTGAGCCTGGTCCTGACCAGCCAACAATTTCCTCTGCATCTTCTATGAAGATCTAGTCTTTTAAGTTCCAGCAAAATATACCAAAATTAAATAATACAAAAATCAGAACCCATTTTCCTCAAGAGAGTCATAGTTCTGTGATTTTATTCCTTACACCTGTGAGGGAAGTGCAGGGAATGTGCTGGTACCTACAGTGGCAGGCAGCGGAACCTCCAGCAGAGCAATGGTGATGTAGGCAGAGAGGGTCACCTCATCATCTACCCCACCCTGTATGGATCAGAGGTAGAGACACTCGGTCACTCCAGTATTCATCAGGTAGAGCTGGCTAATTCTACTTCTCCCCTGGGGCATCTCCACTGGAAAACATATTTTCTTGTGCAGTATTACTGACATTCCCCTTTGCTCTTCTAACTTAAAATTCATCCATCTGTCCCCAATCACTTTCCTTCACTTTTAGTAATATATTGGGTTTTTAAAATACTATTTTCATTCAATAAAAAACTAATTTATTGCTGGATTTCAGAAGCTTTAGAATCTGCCACCCTTCCTCAAAACTATGTCCCTAGAACTTGAGGGGCTAATAGGAGCATCAGTGCTCTTGCATATCACTACCTTCAAGAACCAGAACAAAATTGAAGGCATCACCTTGATCGCATTGTTTAGCAGAGTTCCGGAGCGTCGGAAACAACCGTTTTCCTTCTGCTGCTGTGAGAGCCAGGTGAGGGAACTAGTGATATGTGATCCCTCCACAAAGATGTATGATCGGGCTTGAGCAAAGGACTTGAGCACAAATGCTGTGAGCCTGTCCAGCAAAGAAGAGACTGAGACATGAGGACCATCTCACTTTGAAAGCTCACTTGTACAACTGCCCCCAGACATTGCTTTTCACAAGTCGGAGGACGAAATTGGTAAGGAAATGATACTTGGATGTGGAAACTTGTGTTTGTCCAGTAAACATCTGAATCTCTTTTTTAAGTCTCTCAGCTTTATTGGTTTCTCCAAAGTTGATACTTCCTACTTTTTCTCTCATAAAATGTTCCTTGGAGCCTCCAAGCTTTCCCACCACCAAACCTGCTGTTTTCTGCCTTATATTTTTCCCTTTTGGCAGATCTTTATTTTACTGGAATCTACCAGAGCAGGTGAGCTTTCATAGATGAAATGGTGAGATTACCCAGCATGATGACACATATATATGTTTTTAAAGGATAACAAATTTCCATGAAAAAACAGCTATTTCCGGAATTCTAAAATATCCTGGGTCTATAGAGAGCATATGGAAATAATTGTCTTACCAAGTGTTTCCCTGACTTCTGCCATCATGATCCCCAAAGGTGCTGTATGAACCATCGCTGTGCTTATAATTCAACTGTCTTTGGTACCCTGTAGAGGAAGTTTTCATAGATTTAAGAAATAGCAGAGACATGGGGAATTAATCAGTTTTTTCCTCAAAACTTGCTGGGGAATCATAGGAAAATTACTACTTTATTAATATGTCTCCAAGACTCGATGATGCCATTGAATTTTCTGGTTGTATAGAGGGATATTTTAAAGGATTATCACAAAAACAATGGTTATTAAATCTTAGCCAAAGGGATGGTGACTTGAGTTCCCTGAAGGAGATATTTAGGGAATCGATTAGGGTTTCTTCTTTTGGGGTAATCTCTCACCACTGATAAGGTAGCTGATGGTTTTGGACTTGATCTTGTCTGTCAGCTGCCGTGTCTCATTCAGATAGTTCAGAACATAGATGTTAGGGACAAAAAGGACCATATTTTGCTCTCCACAACCATAGGGCATCTGGATAAGATTCTGAAGATTTTGCATTGCAGAGCCTAATATGTCACCTGGGAATGAAAGATTTAAAAAATGAGAGGAATGCAGACCCGATTTCTGTTTGCATAAGAAGACAGACTGCAGGCTAGGCGAAAAGTCATGG